TGTATCAGGCGAGATCTGACAGATGAAGGGACATAAGTTCGTTTTGGAGGACCGTTACCTGGGTCAGGTTCAGAAGTCAAGGCAGAGTTAATGAGATCAGTGATCTCCCAGGTAACCACTCCAACAGTGCAGGATGCGGGAAGGACAGGTTCAGGCGTTTCGGATTGATCAACGGAATAAAGACGAGAGAGAGAATCGGGTTTGACGTTCTTGGATCCGGGTCTGTAAGAGATTATGAGATTGAAGCGAGAGAAGAATAGAGACCACCTTGACTGACGAGGATTGGCCTGTTTAGCAGACTGGATGTAAGCTAGGTTCTTGTGATCAGTCCAAACAAGAACCGGGTGCTCAGCTCCCTCAAGCCAGCGTCTCCATTCCTTCCAATGCCAGTTTGATGGCCAAGAGTTCACGGTCACCAACGTCGTAGTTTTGCTCTGCGGGGGAAAGTCTACGAGAAAAAAAAGCACATGGGTGAACTCTTTGATCCGTGTCGAGTCTTTGAGATAAGACTGCTCCCACACCAGAGTCGGAAGCGTCTACTTCGAGGATGAATTGCTTTGAAGGATCGGGCTGGATTAACACAGGAGCTCTGGAAAACAAAGTCTTAAGTTTATCAAATGCAGCTTGTGCCTCGGGGGTCCACTGGAAGGTTCTTTCGACTGAAGTAAGAGAAGTTAGTGGAAGAGCTGTCTGACTGTAATTCCTGATAAATCTTCGATAGAAATTGGCGAAACCCAGGAATCTCTGCAGCTGCTTACGGTTTTCAGGTACCAGCCACTCCAAAACTGCCTTTATCTTATCTTCAGATGGCTTAACCTGTCGCCCTCGAGCACAAACCCCAAAAAGGTGACTGAAGACTGATGAAACTCGCATTTTTCGGCTTTGACAAAAAGTTTGTTTTCCAGTAATCTTTGTAAGACCAGGCGGACATGTTTTTTATGCTCAGAAAGATCCTTAGAATAAATGAGTATGTCATCAATGTAGACGAAAACAAACACATTCAAAAAGTCTCTGAGAACATTGTTTACCAAGGCTTGAAAACATGCAGGGGCATTAGTTAGACCAAAAGGCATGACCAAATATTCAAACTGGCCCAAGGGAGTCTTAAAGGCTGTCTTCCACTCATCTCCATCTCGAATCCTGAGAAGGTGATAGGCGTTCCTTAAATCGAGCTTAGTGAAGACAGTAGCCCCTTGTACTGGTTCAAAAGCTGAAGCAAGTAATGGGAGAGGGTACTTATTCTTAACTGTTATTTGGTTCAGGCCTCTGTAGTCGATACAGGGTCTTAGTGAACCATCTTTCTTGCCGACAAAAAAGAAACCAGCACCCAATGGAGAAGAAGAAGGACGAATTATTCCAGCAGCTAATGACTCATTGATATATTTCTCCATCGTTTCACGTTCAGGTTTGGAGATATTATAAAGTCTACTGCTGGGTAGAGGTGCTCCAGGTAATAGCTCAATCGCACAGTCATATGGTCTGTGTGGTGGAAGGGACGTAGCACTGACCTTACTGAAGACAGGAGCCAAATCATGGTACTCGGAAGGGACAGAAGTAAGGTCAGGAGAGTCCATCTCCCCCCCACCTCTAGGAGACCTCACAGCGGGAGCTGCCGAACGGAGGCATGTTTCATGACATGAGGTTGACCAAGATTCAACATGATGATCAGTCCAGTTTATATGGGGGTTATGTCGTTCCAGCCACTCAAAACCAAGCACCAGAGGGGAACATGCAGAGGGAAAAACAAAAAATGTTAAGGTTTCACGATGATTACCTGAGATTAACAGCTCGAGGGGTTGCGTTTGATGGGTGACCTGGTGGAGTCTCTTTCCATCAATTGCGGAGACACAGAGAGGCTGGGTTAGAGGGACTGTTTCAATTTGAAGCTGCTGGACCAGATTGGAGTCAATTAAATTCCGTTCACAGCCAGAATCGATGAAAGCAGACAATGTGAGATTCTGATCTGAGAAGAATAAAGTGGCAGGGAGCATCAGATGAGGAGATTTCTCAGAGTTTACATGGCCCGTCAGACTCCTCAGATCCTCTGACGGGCCCCGGCTTTTGATTTAGCTGGACATGAAGCGATGAAATTGCCACTCTCACCACAGTAGATACACAGTTTGCTCAAAAAACGTCTTAGCCTTTCCTCAGGAGTTAGCCTTGTATGTCCAACCTGCATGGGTTCGGCTGCCGTCTCTCCTGCATGAGAGGCCTGAACAGGCAAAGGGAGTGACTGGGTTTTAGACCTCGGCTTGGAAAAGAGCTCTGTGGGAGCAGAAAAAACAGTCACATTATTAGATGCAGGGGCAGAGACAAAATAACCTTGATTCTTTGGTTTGGAGCTGTTTCTAGCTCGGATCCTGTTATCCAGCCTAATTGTCAGGCAGATTAATTCCTCAAGAGTTGCAGGTTCGTCGAGGGTTGCTAGTTCATCTTTGATGCTTTCGTTTAAAGCCATGAAATAAGCGCCCTTTAAAGCACTTCGATTCCATCCGGAAGCTGCCGCTTTGACCCGGAAGTTAATGGAGAAATCCGCTACAGAAGAATTTCCCTGTCTTAGGTTCAAAAGAGCACGAGAGTCAATGGTTTGATCAGTTTCTTGGTTAAATACTTGAGAGAATTCAGAAACAAAATCAGTGTATTGACAACTGAGGCTTTCTTCGGAGGCAAACCTTGCCTCCGCCCACTCAAGGGCTCTTCCAGTCAGTTGGGACAGAATAAAAGTTATTTTCTTTTGATCCGTTGGGAAACTGCCAGGAGAGTTTTGGAAAATTAAACGACATTGAAACAAAAATCCTTTACAGTCCTTCATATTACCTGAAAACTTCTCAGGAAGACTAGGGCGGAACTCAGGTGATGATGTCACCGCCGGTGACCTCGGAGGCGGAACTGGACCCGGAAATGGTTGTGCTGCCGGCGTGGCATTAGCACTGCCCATGTAGTTAGCATAGCTTTGAATCATTTGGTTTTGTAGTTCAATGTGGGTGTTTAACTCACGAAGAGCCTGAGCGTATCCCTGGATTTGAGCCTCCTGCTCCTCCAACCGACGACGGAGGTGATCTGCTGGGCCTTGTGTTTGGCCGCAGTGTTCTGTCATGATGGGTTTCAGAAAAGCCCAGTATGCAGAACACCACGGAAACAGATGAAAAGTTTAACAAGTTTTATTGAGCACAAGCACATGGAATAAACACAGGAACTGGTTCAGGCCTGGGGGCAGGTTCACTGGAGTCTGTGAGGATGACAGTTCAGTTAGCTTGGAAGCAGATGAGTCTGAGTTTGAGAGTTTCAGGTTTATACCTTGAGGAGTCCGGGTTTGGCTTTGAGAGAGGAACTGTTGGGTCCAGAGACTGTTTAGTTCAGCAGAGTCCAATAACCGCTTCAGCGTCTTACTTCTAACATGAGGGCAGACCTTGGCTTTGGGTTTCCAGCTCTTAGTCCAGAGCTGCATGGGAATCCAGAGAAGAGTCTTCAGGTTTGGCTCAGAGGGCTGGCTCGGCAGGTTAAGCTCATCCAGAGCTTACAAGGGAAAAACTGGATTCCTGACAGCAGAGACAAAAAGGGATTAGAATCCAATCAGGACTCAGGAGCAACAATGGTTCTCAGAAGAAGCTAGGCTCAGGTGCTAACCAAACTGGATAAACACTGCGGCGTTGAGGCAAGGTCTGAAGGCAGGTTATATACTGGTGGATCCTCTGATGATGAGATGCGCCTCAGGTGTGTCGAAGGCTCAGCTCAGGAGGTTCCACGGCGGACTCTGCTGGAGAAAGGTGGAACTTCTCCAGATCCCAACACTGATTGCATCGACTCATTGACTCTTCAGCAATCCCTCACACTAAGCATGCTTGTAGCGACAGTGGAGAGGAAAAACTTACGATGTTTGTTCTCACGCTGTGCAACCCGACGCTCGGATGCGATCTGCCTGCTCATGCTGTACGTCTAAAAACCAGGTGGGACTCAGCTCCGCAGTGAGATGGCGCTACTGGGACTCGTCTATCCTGAAGCCAAACCAGTAGCAGAGGAATATGAAGCTCACTAGAGTGAAACGCGCTGCCTTGGATATTTGGGCAATTTAGTGCTGAAAGCCCTAAAAAGAAAAGGAGACGACGTATTTGGACAAAGACATGGCTGAGCTAACGTGGCTACTACGGTCTGTCAGTTTGACAGAAAGAACTCCATTTCACTCATTGCCCCCCCCGCCATGATGCTGGGTTTACAGCAGAGAGGAAGAAGAAGAAGAAGAATCCTTGTTTGCCCACTGAGCGATTTATCTATGACCACCTTAAGATGGCTGACTGAAAATCAAACGTTTGATTTTCTCCCGACCTTCTGATTCCTGATGGGGGGGTGGTCGTTAGAGGCTGGTCGCCCCTCGTTACCCCCTGTTCAGCTCCACTTGGAACCTTCAGGATGAAAGTCGGCCTGACCTAATGGTTTCACCCACCTAAAGTCTCCATTATTACATAGTTACTTTGAAATGATGTTACTTTATTTTAGGGTAATTTTCTGGTTAACTAGTAATATAATGTGACTTGCTATGTTATTACATGATTATTGACCCCTCACCCCCCCAACATGGACTGTTCAGATTCTTCCCCACCACCATTAGACTGCTAAAAGTTATGTAAAATGGGTTAAATATATATATATATATATACAGAGAGTTAAAACTGTAACTATGCAGTCATATGTTTACATCCCTGTTTTTAGGGTTAGAGTTCCTGCTTACCTTATCAAGGCTGCACTTTAACAAATGAAATAGTCTGGAGAACTGTTCTTAACGAAATTTATTTTCGTTTACACTGTTGTGTACAAAATGACAAAATCTGTCTGAGTCTATTGATGTGCTGTAAAAGAAAGCGTTACTTTTAAAGTTTTCAGTCATAAAGATCAATTTATTAATAAAAAGGTTTTTCCTTTAGTGTTTGGTTTGTAAGTGAAAACCTCTTCCTGTTCCTTTCTGCCACTAACCGATTCTCTTCTTTCTGCTTCCTGTTTTGCAGCGTTTCCACCTCTCCTCCCAGGGGCAGCCATTCTCTGATCACAGGCCTGGCATCTTTCATCCATTCATCCCTCTTTCATTCAGTCATATTTTTGCCCCGTCATGAAAGGCCTGTCCAGTAGTCGGAGTCACCATCACGTGGTCTCCTATGAGCCATCGTACGATCCACTGGGTCACCATGTTGACCGTAAGCCATATTTGTTCAGCCAGATGGATATGCCTTTGCCAATTCCCATGCCACATCCATCTGAGTTGCCCTATTACAATGCTCAACGCGTCTCCTACCCCTCTGAAAGCAACAGCATTGTCCCATATGGAACCTTCCCCAGGAGGTGCCACTCCACCTCCTCAGCTCACCATCCTGAGGTAAAGGATGAGTGTATGGCCATGGTGCCGTACGCAGGGGGGGGAGGTAGAGGAGGAGGAGGGGGAGGAGGCTACGGAGCTAAATCCCAGTCTTGGGTGCCAGTAAATTTTGCGGACCCCTATGAGCAACAGCCAATATTTTCCAGAGATGGCTACCACACACTGCAGTACAAACGAGGAGTGTTGTCCCACAGCGGGGGGATGGGAGCCAATGACGGCAACAATGACAGTCCTGGACGAATTCGCCACCTGGTCCACTCGGTCCAGAAACTCTTTACCAAGTCGCATTCATTGGAGGGGCCACAGCACACGCAGTCATCCAAAGGGCCCAATAACGGGAGCGTTTATGGTGGTGGCGGTGGTGGAGGAGGTAGCGGTGGTGGTGGTTCAAGGGCTAGCCCAGAGGGTGCGGCTCCCCCAGGGGGGACGCGCCACCGGAAGCGCAGCAAGAGCCGGGAGCGCTGTCGATCAGCAGAGCCTAAGCATCGGAGCTACCACCACCACCACCACCCGCAGCTTCATGGCTCAGCATCTGCTCCAGGCTCCGGATACTGGAGCTCAGATGACAACCTGGAACGGGAGCTGTGTCTTTACCACCCTCATCACCACCAACCTCCACCTTCACCCTCCCTCTCCGTTTCCCCCTCCCCCGTTGCCATGACAATGGGACAGTGCCATGGCAACAACCCCGATAAGTACCCGCAGACCCCCCTGCCAAACTTCTCCTCCTCACAGTCCCAGCAGTACTTTCTGATGGACCCCTACGGGACAGTTAGCGAGCACGCCCACACTCACGCACGCCACGGCCGCACCCACCACCACTCTGCACTCAAAACCTCTTGGAGCAACAGCGATGTGAAGTATTCAGCTTCCTCTGCATGTGTGCCAGGTAGTGGTAACAGCAATAAGAGCGATGGCTGTGTCGGTGGAGGAAGCGGCCCCTTGCTGCCGCTGGGTCTTGTGGACGGGCCTATTGAGAAGAAAGGGGCATGGTCGTCAAGCCTAACGGTGAGCAGGGCCCGAGAGGTCTACACCAACAACAGCAGCCACAAGCAGCTACGAGCCAGCGCAGGACCCGGTAACCTAAACCTAGATAGAGCTCTAGTCAAATCTAAGGCCAGTCAGCAGCAGGACCCTTCTTGCCAGTTCTTACAGGTAAATTCTTTACTGGTTCCAGCCAAAGTAGTCCAGTCACTCCCCCTCCCCCCCCTGTTGCCTCTTGTTCTCCACTTATTACTTTTCTGAACAATGTTACCTCTAAGTCAGTGGGCTCCAGTCTCACTGCCAAAATCCAGCCAGCCTTTCTTATGCTTGACGATTCAGGATCTTTCATTCTACAGTGATGTATAATAATAATATTAATAAGTAGAGAGACTCTGGACAGAATTTGCAATGAAAACAAAAATATGAACATTTCATGTTTACAGGATGTGAAAGCATCCAAATATCAGATGTAAAGCCCCTGTTACACCTTGACAAGTCAGACCAGCCTGTTCCTGACGTACAGAAAATCTGGCAAAAATGCAGGTATATGTTGGAGAAGTTATGGGAAGCTGTATGGCTGGAACACGTCGGTATATGGCATGTATGCCAGCATCCGCCATCCATGGTCCATCAGTTCCAGGTCAGTTATCTGATGGCTGACATCCGTTCAGTGTCAGTTCCTCATCAGTCGTGGCGTCTAGCTGATCCTAACCCTCTGACTAACTTATCCAGAACTTCTCTCCAACATATCAGCGTATCTGACGTGTTCCATACGAGCGCTGAACGTGTTTCTAACTTCCAGCTACTGTATAATGGCGTATTGGCAGCGTTTTGGTATAAAGGGGGTTCACAGGAGGAAACCGTCAGTTCTCCTCCAGACTTCATCCCCATCATAGGGTGAGCCAGAAGGTGAGTGATGGATCCTCCCTGCGTTCACGCCCACCACCAACACACTTCCTAGCAGACATGACGCTCAATCTGCTGACACCAGAAACCTGCTTTATTTCTTTTTTGGTTTTATTTATTCTTTTTTTTTTTGGTGGACGGTAAACAGCAGCTAGGTTAATACCGCGATCAAAGAATCTTTTCCTGCAGGCCGGGCGCCTCCAGGCTCATCGCTGCCCCCCTCAGGACACTGTGCATCATTTCCTGGGCATTATGCTGCCTTCCGTTATGCAGAAGTTAGGCTGTCGTTGGACAGAAGTTCGTTATGGATACTCTGTTTACGCCCAGAATAGAAAGAATCCATAGAAAGTTCAGTGTCTGCCAGAGTTTAGGAGATTCTGGGACGTCAGGCAGACGCTGGTTAGATCAGGGAGGTGTGACAGGAGCCTAATTAGTGAAACTAGTAATATATCTAAATCAGTTTAATTCATTTACCTTTTAACATGCAGCCCAACAGCATTCTTCTCATGGCACTAAAATACATGTAGCACATATAGATGCAGTCCAGTGTGATAAAGTCCGCTAGATGTGACAGAATGATGCGTTTAGTGGCTCTGGGTTTTCCCCCTCAGCGCTTTATTCCAGTACAGCAGAGACACGTGTAAATGTTGCAGCACATCGGCCCTTATATATATACTCCATACTGGTCCTCAGACCTTAGACCACTACGCTACTATAGACTTAGACCAGGTCTAAAGGTCTGAGGAACGGTGGATCACACGAATGCATGAAAACGCTGCAAAATGTATGCCAGGCCTGTAAGTGGCGCTGTGGTGCCAAAGCAAAAATAGGCGACGAAATGTTGGGCGTGCGCAGTAATATTTATACATGGTTGCCTTTTCGTGGTTCAGTCAAATTCAGGTGCTGGACTATGTGGTCGATATTGCTCTGTTCTTCCTGGAGATATTCCAGAAGAAGAAGATTCTGTTGTAAGCCCGACAGCAGGGTGAGTAGCATTAGCAGCAACCATTCAACACAGTACGGCGCCATTGTTGTTGTGATACTGTGTCGCGCATGCGTGTTTAGAGGCGACGCAATGACGCATGCGTGTTTAGAGGCGACGCAATGACGCATGTGTGTTTAGAGGCGACGCTATGACGCATGCGTGTTTAGAGGCGACGCTATGACGCATGCGTGTTTAGAGGCGACGCTATGACGCATGCGTGTAAGAAAAAAAATGCGGTTAGAGCTTAAAGATGGAAACGCGAAAACGGCGTTTCAAAATCTTCCCACTCTGAAGGCTTAATAAAAAAAAGATCGTTTACAGACCCCGAAACGCCGGCTTCGTTTGGATGAGAGGCTGGTTTGGTGAAAAATTAGTGCGTTTAGGCCAGGGTTTGACTTCCTGTGGACGGGGCCTAAATCCACTGTGGGAAAGAAACACCAATACTAACCGTCCGCTTTGATCTATTGCTCTGAAAGGGAACATTTAGCTGCAGTCTTTTTTTCTCTGAGGTCACACCTGGTGTCTCACCACCAAACGTGCTCAGTTTAGAAAATTGTTACATTTGCTTATCAAAAGGGAAAAGAAAAAACAACATTTGTAAATTCCCCTCCAGGATGCAGCAGGACCGACTCTAGGTCTACATCCATTTACAGCAGAAACACAAGTGCTTTATTAGTGACGATGTATTTTCCTATTAGGAGGGATTCAGCAAACTGCCCAGCAAAATGATCCCAAACCCATGCAAAAAAAAACTAAATCAGAGCTAAGGAGCTAAACAAAACAGCTAGATGCTAAATGCAGATGAAACAGACCGACACCAGAGCACGCTAGCCTGGTGAGACCATCCTGATCTCGCGAGCTTTCAAGGTTTCACTCGCAGATCAATCTGGAGACTCTCCGTTAAAGAAAATTTGGAGCCGTTCACCAAACGAACGTCCAATCAGCGTTGGCTTTGAGGCGGGTTGAGGTGTGACGCAACGAGAAGCGCGACTGTTCAGTCTAAAGAACATGGCGGCTTCAGCCGATGAAACTAGCGTTAGCGTGGCTATCGAACAAGTTTTATGGGAATTACAGAGTATTTCTTCACTGAAAGAAGAGCAAAACACTGCTCTGGATGTTTTTGCTCTTCTCCCGACTGGTTTCACCAAGACTTTGATTTATCAATTGACTCCTCTTCGTCGTCGCTCTGTTAGTACGTCATATGCTTCGTTGATCTGATTGGTTTATTTGGCCCGTCTATCACCAACATAGGCCAATCAGCTAACCAGTATTTTCGCCCCTTCCCAAAATTACTTCAACGGAAGGTTTCCGTTGAAGTCTGGCGGAGTCAGGTTAGAGCTTCGTTGCTCTAATAGCTCTACCAGCAAATTCAAATTATAACCCAAACTGCACTTTAACAGTAAGATAAAATACTGCATCCCCGACCTGTACCTAATATTCTGGCCAATCGTAGGGCGGCAAATGCAACAAAGACCAAACTTAACGTCGTTAATGCTCTACATACAAAGTTCACAGAACCAGTTAATAAAGGGGAAGCTAAAATCATCCATTCAGTCCAACCTTTTCTGTTTTCAGGTCATAATGTTAGAGCCAACATTCCCGCATGGCAGCAGGAATCCGTGGTTCCAGCTCCATGGCTAAGTCAGTGGCTACTTCTATCTCCTATTGCCAGCTTTAGCCCCTCCCTGCTGGTGCCGATTTCCTGGTGGGACCTGAACCGGGTCACAGTTAGGCAGAAGTACCGCAGACTTACCTTCTGGAGGATGTGGTGAGCTTCCTTATTCCGTCTCTGGGAACCTGGTGAACCCAGAAACGCTGAGAGATACACTATATTGCCAAAAGTATTTGCTCACCCATCCAAATTATTGGAATCAGGTGTTCCAATCACTTCCATGGCCACAGGTGTATAAATTCAAGCACCTAGGCATGCAGACTGTTTTTACAAACATTTGTGAAAGAATGGGTCGCTCTCAGGAGCTCAGTGAATTCCAGCGTGGAACTGTGATAGGATGCCACCTGTGCAACAAATCCAGTCGTGAAATTTCCTCGCTCCTAAATATTCCACAGTCAACTGTCAGCTGTATTATAAGAAAATGGAAGTGTTTGGGAACGACAGCAACTCAGCCACGAAGTGGTAGGCCACGTAAACTGACGGAGCGGGGTCAGCGGATGCTGAAGCGCATAGTGCGAAGAGGTCGCCAACTTTCTGCAGAGTCAATCACTACAGACCTCCAAACTTCATGTGGCCTTCAGATTAGCTCAAGAACAGTGCGCAGAGAGCTTCATGGAATGGGTTTCCATGGTCGAGCAGCTGCATCCAAGCCATACATCACCAAGTGCAATGCAAAGCGTCGGATGCGGTGGTGTAAAGCACGCCGCCACTGGACTCTAGAGCAGTGGAGACGCGTTCTCTGGAGTGACGAATCGCGCTTCTCCATCTGGCAATCTGATGGACGGGTCTGGGTTTGGCGGTTGCCAGGAGAACGGTACTTGTCTGACTGCATTGTGCCAAGTGTAAAGTTTGGTGGAGGGGGGATTATGGTGTGGGGTTGTTTTTCAGGAGCTGGGCTTGGCCCCTTAGTTCCAGTGAAAGGAACTCTGAATGCTTCAGCATACCAAGACATTTTGGACAATTCCATGCTCCCAACTTTGTGGGAACAGTTTGGAGCTGGCCCCTTCCTCTTCCAACATGACTGTGCACCAGTGCACAAAGCAAGGTCCATAAAGACATGGATGACAGAGTCTGGTGTGGATGAACTTGACTGGCCTGCACAGAGTCCTGACCTCAACCCGATAGAACACCTTTGGGATGAATTAGAGCGGAGACTGAGAGCCAGGCCTTCTCGTCCAACATCAGTGTGCGACCTCACAAATGCGCTTCTGGAAGAATGGTCAAAAATTCCCATAAACACACTCCTAAACCTTGTGGACAGCCTTCCCAGAAGAGTTGAAGCTGTTCTAGCTGCAAAGGGTGGACCGACGTCATATTGAACCCTATGGATTAGGAACGGGATGTCACTTAAGCTCATATGTGAGTCAAGGCAGGTGAGCAAATACTTTTGGCAATCTAGTGTATGTTCGGCTTTCGAAGAAAGTAAAAAAAAAAGCAAAGCCGGATGCTCTGCAAATCCATGTCCGCCATGATGAGGTGGAACCAACGACCAGAAGACTCCATGACATAGGAGCCTTTCGCCTGCTGGGCCAAACGCTTTTACTGGCCAGAAGAATTTCAAGGTGAGCAATAGCAGGCCTAAAGCTCACCTCAGGGATGGTTTCATAT